TGCTGACTTCCGGGTCCAAGCCTAGCTCCTCCCATATGCACCTCTTAGACTTACTAGGAGGTAACAAAGACAATCTCCTATCAGCCCTGCCTGGATGAATGAGAAGTAATAAGAAAACTGTCTTGATGAATCAGATATTTGCATGTCTTTAAAATATCTACTTTACTGTTTCTTCAAAAATTATGTTCTCCATCTGCTTTGAGGAAAGCAGATAGATTTCAGCATGGCTTGCTAATAATCTTCTCGAGGTAGGACTAGCATTAACATTTGTGTAGGCTCTTTTTCATCTTAATCCAACCTTAGTTAATAATCAGAAAATTCTACGTAGTGGGTAAGGAGATGTAATTAACCCTTTGACCCCAGAATCTTAATTGGTGCCTGTTGAAAACAATGGGCAGTTAAAAAAAAAATTAAAAAGTAGCCCGCAGTGATTGAGCAGCACAGTATATAATAGCTTTTTCGATTCCAATTAAAAAGAAATCCACAGAACTTTCAGATTAATCACATTTGGTGTTGCAGAGTAATTGATTGAATGTTTCCTTCTTCCTCCCACCTTTTTAAATGGAGGCACCCAAAATAAACCAATATTGATGATATTTTTCAAAGTTTTGTGACAAAGTACAGCTAGCTTGAGACCTACTCTACCCTGCTTCAGAAGATGGTAACTTTTTGAAAAGTGATCTTAACAATCGAATTTAGTCCTGATTTTGGATCTCAATCTCTTCTCGTTTTCTTAATTTCTAAAAATGTGTTTGAAAGGGAGTGGGCGAGAGGAAGAGGAAGAGCATGAGCGCTGATCTGCCAGCACACCCCTCAAATGTCCAGTATACCTAAGGCTTCTTTGTGGTGTCGGGAGCCAAAAGCAGATGTTGGACCCAAGCACGGTAGCATGGGATACAGGCGCCCATACTGAAAATTACTAGGCTAAGCACCCTCATATCTTGTTCTTTATTTGAAAGGTAACCAAACCTGAGCCATGGATGCTCAGATTATCTATACAGTTGGCCAAAATGGTAAACACACAAGTGAAAAATATGGTTGGTAACTATCTTTTTTAAAAACTCTGTGATGGCTAGTAACTCATCTGACTGCTTAGTTTTCCCTCTACCAAACTGGCCATTATTTTTAATTGACTTGACTGGATGTCTTTGTGTCATGTAGCTTGACGTTCATTTAACTCTCACCAGGAAGTCAGAACATGTGTCAAAGCCCATGTTTTTGCCAAACAAAACTGGCCAGTTCTTAGATGGCTGCTGTTTAATAGCATCAGATGTTTAGCCTCCAGATATTCTTTCTCCCTCTGCCGGTGTCCAACGTTCCTCTAATGCATATGAGATCTGAACCTCATGTTAAGGACTACAGTTCCCTTAAGGGAGAATAAAAAGGATCTGTATAGATGGCAGATGACATCTAGAAATAGCCCTGGATGCCTGGGAAAACCACAGCCAAAGTCACTGTAATGCTGGTCCCCCAAATAACAGGAAACACCAAACCATTGGCATCCAAATGTGAAAAAATCTAGTAGCTCCATAAGCAAGACTCTTGAAGAAAATAAATGTCCATCTCTTGATCGTTGTGGTGTGATGCAGGAAAGATGAACTCTGGACTTGAAGACAGAGCTGGATTTATTAAGTTAGGTTCAGCAAGTTCAGTTCAGCAGGTTTAGTTCTGGCTAGATAAATTAAGACAGTGCCCTGCTGTTCAGAAATTCATTCTGTTTGGGAGTTGAATGAGCCGAGTAGATCCATACATCATAAATGCCTTAGTAATATTGTGGGACTGCAGAAGATGCCATCTTAGCTCTGCCACCTGCTGGCTCTCCAAACTTGCGTAGCTGGGAAAGCCGCTTTGTGCTGTTTCCTCGCCTATAACATGAAGGTTAGATTTCAGGTGATCTTCATTCCACGTTCTTCTGCCTTTATTCTGCTCTATGGTAGTCTTCCAGCTGCCACCAGTGTCCATGGAAGTTTACCCGAGACCTTTCACTGCATTGTCACTCTGATTTGAGAGCAGTGTATGAAGGATGGAAAGGATGCCTTGTGTAGTTGGATAATTGTGTACCAGGCCACAGATGTGAGATTGAATAGAAAACCTATTGGGTCCTATTTGTGCAAAGGAAAGGTAGAAAAAATGCAACCTCTTAAGCCATCCTTCAGAAACATCTTGTTGGAAGGGCACTCTGTCCTTTTGTACTAGTTCCAGGTGAGTTGCCATCACCATGCCACACCATGCACTTGAGGAGTTGTATCTGAAACGGCTCCAGGTCATTTGGCAGCTTTGTCAATGGTCAGGAGCTTAGTACTTTTAGCAGGCATGTTCTTCTCCACACCTCGTTCAGGGGGAAACATGACAATGCAAAGGTGACCAGTGACCTCCTGTGGAAGTGACGTACAAATGCTCTTCTTCTCCGCCTTTGTCTCATTACCCCAAACCATAGTCTTCTAGCATTTGATTAGATTTTTTTTAAAAACTTGTATTTTTGAAGTCATAGTTTACCTCTATGGTATAAATATCATAACTTCAAAAATATCTGGAATATTTATCTTTACATCAATTCACATTTTTCTATTATAGACACTTTATTTTTGGTGGAAGACACTGCAGCTATTGAGTGTGACTATTGGACTTGAGTCTCCAACCTAGGAAAAGGCTTTGCTGCCTCATTAAACTAAGCCTCATTTTCCTTGAATATAAGATGTAAATAAAAATATAATTACTTCATCTGGCATATGTGAGAGTTGTGAGCCAATACATGTAAACCACTTAGCACATAGCATTACCAAATCGAATCTGTTGTTACTCTGTACTCTCCTAGTTAATACATGATTTGTGTAATTTGCAGTTTGTGAAGACCTATAATGTGACTTGTGAATTGTTTTCGAACCCACTAAAGCAAAAATGGAGAATGAGTGCAATGTGCAGTTTCTGACCAGTAGGGCAATAAAAATGGGTCAAGAATGCAAGGAAATCCAGATCATATAATTTTGTGTACACACATATGCATGTACATGCATGCTCTGTGTGCATATCAATACATGTATTTCATTACCTTAGTGCATTTTGTTCTGCTGTAACATAGTTCCCAAGTCTAGACAATTTCTAGCACAGACATTGATTTCTTAAAGTTGTAGGAACTTGGCTCTCCAAGGTCAGAAGCCTTGCATCTGGAAAGAGCCTCCTTGCTATGCTTTCCCATGGTGCAAGGTGGAAAGGAAAAAGCAAGAAAAGGAGCAGAAAGAAGGCCAACATTATTTTTAAAACCTCCCCCATGGTAACTGCCTCACTGCAGCAGTAACTATTAATGCATTCATGGAGCAGGGTCCTTTTGACCTAATCTCCCCATAAAGGTTTCACCTCTCAACACTCTCTCAGCATTGTGGGGGCAAGTTCCTAATACATGAACTTTGAGGAATACATTCAGTTGGTAACATTCCTGAGCACATAAGTATTCTCAACAAATAATTCAGTATTTTTGGAGCATAACATTATTGCTAGCCTTTGTGGACATGCATATTTCTAACCAAACTATATATACCTCTTCCATGTTTCTGGATGCTGAAAATTGTGTCATTAATTTTGTGTTTACAAGTACTTTGTTCCCATTGTAGATTTCCTGTAATTACAATTTATTTCACAGCCTTTGTTTACATTACTGATTTTGAGAACATTTGTTCTTGGGCCAGAAGCATTTGTCCAACCCACTTTGATGTGATTAGATAGAAGAAAAAGTTATGGTGTTCTGTTGCACAGTAAGCTTACTATAGATAGTCAAAATGTATTGTTTCCGTCTCAAAACTGAAGGAAAATATTTCAAATGTTTCACAATAAAGAAATGGTAAATATTTGAGATGATAAGTATGTTACCTTGATTTGAACATTATGCAGTGTGCAGGTGTTAAAGCATAAAATGCACCCCAGAAATACGTACTTTTTACATAATCATTAAAAATGAAAAATAAACATGAAAAGAAGGAAGAAAGAAGGAAAGGGAGGAAGGAAGATGAGGGGCATAGAATGTGCTTGAATTGCAAGAATGTGAAGCGTTTTTCGTTGTGTTCACCATATAAAAATGACAAATGAGAAAACAGCCTTGCTCACCATTATTTAAATATTAAACAATGTATGCAGGTATCTTAAAAAACCACATAATTTGAAAAAAATTATGTATACTTTTTATGTACCAGGTAAAAGGTTTTTAAAAAGAATTTGAAGCTAATGTGTTTCCAGGTGGACAGATGTGTTGGAGTGGAAGCCAGTCGTTATTCAGACACTATTCATTAAACTGTAAATGCTGCCCTCCGTTAAGAGAGTGGAAACAGGTTTCGGGAGTCAGGCCTGATGCGATGTACCCCCTTTCTCTTCCTGCCTGACTTTGTTTCAATATCTGGAGCTATCACAGAAGCTAGATCACAATAAAACTTTAACACAGAGTTTTGCAAACCAAGAGTATAGTTTGTAAGGGCTCAGCTCCTAAACACTCACCTGTAATGTATTGACTTAACAGCCAGTGAGAATGAAGCAGGCATCATTCTTGATTCGGTTACAAATTATTGATGTCCATAGTAATCCAAATGGTGATGTTATTTGCTCTTCACATGGGATCCTTTTTCCTTCCCTTCATTCCATTTTCCACTCCTGTTTAACTGTTTAATGGAGAACCTGGCTGGTCCAATCTCAGTATCTGCTGAGTCAAAAAAAATTTAATACCAATGTCTCATAAAGTCAGTGTGTCCTTATATTATGTATCACTGTAATATGTCTTGAGGAAATGGACACAGACACAAGGAAATCCCTGAAAAAAAAGGAGAGTTTGCAGTCTTAATTCAGGCTTTTAATCTACTCATGTTTGCTACAATACTGAAGGATCTTAAGTTGAAACTGTTGAATATGAAGGAAACTTAGTTTTAAATTTACTGTGTTGCTTTGTTGCCATTGCCATGTTAATGGCATCTCCTTGTATAGTTTATTAACCTACTTGTGTGTTTATTCTTTTCCTGCAGTCACTGGATGGCTTTGTATTTGCACTAAATCAAGAAGGAAAATTTTTGTACATATCTGAAACAGTCTCCATCTACCTAGGTCTCTCACAAGTAAGTAAAACAATTTAAATTCTTGGTAGTAATTGCAAAGGCTCCTCCAGCCTCCTGCTTTCCCTTCTTTAAAGGATATTCTGTATAGCGTGAATTATCAAATTTATTATCTCATGCTTCTACCTGGTTCTTCCCTCAAAGTCCTTGAGAAACCTAGTGTCAGTGTTGAATGTTCAGAATAAACTTGTGCTGAAAAACTTGAGTCCCTCTCCCCACCTGGCAAGAATCATTATTAATTTATTGAGAACAAATGAAGTTTCTTCCCTCCGTTGTTTTGAACTTTGAAACCTGTGTGCCCGGTAGGAGAGGGACACGCTAATAGTGCTTCCCTTGTGTCCTATTACTGGATGTTTATGGAGTACCCTGCATTATCCTGGGAGCTGACACGATGGCAGGAGTCATTTGGAGTCAAGGAATGCTGAAAGAGACCATTAAAATGTGTAGCAAGGAAGGTTCCAGCAAGGATGTATTTTGCTGCCTTTGCAAATGCTTTCTAATGCAAAAAGAAAATAGTCTTTCATTGTTTGCCATTTAATTACTCAGAGATGTGTGTGCCAGGCAAAGAGGAAAAAAAAAGATGGAGGCTGATGGAACAAGGGATAAAATCATGGAGGTCAGTTCTTGATATTTCCCAGGAAATTCAAAATTTTAGAACCCTTGGATGCTAACACAAGGCAGCATCAACTGAATGCCAAATCTGAACAAAAATTGGCAATTCTGCTAATTACCCAGATGTTTTTTTTTCCCATAAAAATGTTAAACATCTGGGTATTTGTGTCTATGCAAGTGACTGGTTGGGTTTGACCGATTTCATCTGCTGGTTTGGCACAAGACAAACTCAGCTTCATTGGGAGCAGTTTTGTGTGTCTGTGGGGGCAGAAGATGGAATGCCAGGTCAGATAATGTACCACTCATTCAGTTGCCCCTTGGAGCTAACACTGGCAGTCGGATACGTTGCTCTTAAGCAGGACCACCCCAGACTCACTGCCTCTGAAAGCTGGCACAGCACTAAGGAGATGCAGTGAGGCTGGAGCATCTCAGCTATTAGTGAGTTTACTGGCAAATAGCTAAATCAAGAAAGACATCAGGAAACATTATAGAGAAAAATCTGGCACTTGCAGAGACTTGGGGGAAGAGAAAAGATGCTGCCAAATTAGATTATTTACTATTGAGAATCCAAACCAATGATCTAGCTCATTAATGTTTCCTCGAGGAACATGCAAGTTGTTGGCTCTAATGCACAGGGTAGTTCTTTTTTATGTGAACTTCAGAAAACCAAATTATAAGAATTGAGCTATTGTTAGCTTCTTATTCTTGCTTCATTGAGATCTCTTTTTTTGATAATGACCTTTAAAAGTCTGGAAGCCTTAATCTGCTTGGGATCTAGTACTGAGAATCTCCAAGTTTGAAATTGGTGCACCACCCTCTTGTGAATACGGTGTAGAACTGGAAATGCTGCTAGGTGTTGTTTGGCAATGCCTGTATTCATCTGTTTCATGCGGAGTATCCAACAAAGTTTAATAAGCCAGTAAAGAAGAAGGATGAATAATTAGTTTAAGCAGGTAAATGCTAATTAGGGAAGTCCTGAAAAGCATCCATTATATACTAGCTCAAAACACATTTTACAGCCCTGGTTAGTGGTGTAATCCAAATTCTGTCAAGGCAACTGCATTTTCTGTAATTGAGATGTGTATGTTTGCTTTGCATAACAGATGGCTCTGTATGCTTAGACTGATAGCTAGGAAAATAATAATTGCATTATTCTGGCCAAAAGAATATTAGCTCTTGGGTTTTGGCCATTTCAGTCAGTCCTCCTGCCAGCACAGCATATGCACATATATGGATTGGATTTTCAAGGAAATTGATGCATCTGGAATAGTGTGGCCATCTGAAATATCATCTGTTCAAGAAAAATTTGGCTTTAACCCTGTGCTGGTTTCTCCCTAAAAGCAGTTTATTTCATTGCTTTCTTTACTGTAGCATTAAGTCAATCTTTTTCCACAATCTGAGACAAATAATTGAGGTTCCTGCAGCAAAAAAGACAACTTTGTTGACCCGGCACAGTATCTGGCAACTTCCATACAGTCTGTCCCTGCTTTTGTGTGTGATGAGTTTTAGTGCATACTGGTAGATAGCATCTTGATGGACTGGGGTGGGGTGGTGCAATGAAGGCCCTGGCCCGAATGCACCGTGCTTTCTCCTGTAGTGTCTCTATGCAGGGTCAGTAGAAATAGTGACCTACACAGGAGGGGGCTGTGAAGTGTGAGACTTCACCAAGAGTCCCTGTACAACTGAAATGATGAGGGGCACATCGGAAGAATGTGATTTTTTTTGCATATCACAGTATATATATTTAGGGTTCAAGACTAAAGTTTCAGAACAGTTCTGAGTTAGCATAAAATGTATTTTATCCTTAAAACATTCAGTTTAAAGCACAGTATATTCTTAAAAACCTAGATCATGAGAGGGAAAAAAAATCTGGCAAAAGTTTGAGGATGAGTTTGCAATCCAGGGTAGGTTCTGAGTCCCAACAGAAAGATGGTGGTCCTCAAACATTTGTTTCAGTGTTTGTTCTTTTGCAAGTGCGCATGGAGACATGCACTGCCTTAGTTAAATGCACACCAAATGCTTGTGTTGTACCACTGTGGCTTAGCGGTTATTCCATCAAATGTAAGACAGAGAGTCAGTACAGCAATGGTTTTCTTGGATAATGACACTGGGTATCAGCAAAGCCTTATCCAGTGAAACAGTTGAAGACTGTTGTGTGCATGTCAGCTTGGTAGAGCAATCCAGTGCCTGCATAGCTAACTCACAAGATACCCCTTCCTCCATTTTATTTGCTTTCAACATGTAAATAAATATGGTGGCTGTAAAATAGCTTGTGTCCGGGAAAGAATTAGGGTTCTGTTTGGGCTCACGGAGAAATGACGTAGGAAGATTTCTACTGAGCTCTCGGGATGGTGCTCCTCACCCAGCATGGATATAAAGAAGTCAGAACAGATTTGCTCTTTTGGACTCCATTGGGATTCCAGCTCCTGGTGTGTAGGTCCTTGCTGCATATCAACAGTTTTCTCCAAGTTCAGTTGTTCTCCCATTGATGTAATGCTGGACATGATGTGGACTATATCTGAGCCCCATTGAAAACCCTTTGGACTTTGCTAGATATATGATGGACACTTCAGAAAGTCCATGGACAGTGGAATTAATAAAACGTACATTGTGGCACAGGAAAAAAATGCAATCCATACATAGTTTTTTTTTTCATAAAATGCATTTTTTGTGAATTTGTATGTGACCTTAACTTCTAAAAAGTGATTTGTAGAAATATACAGGGTTTAACTCACAGGAGTATACTCACTTTTGGGTGTGAAAATGATTCTTGGTTACTCATTGTTAGGCATGATTATAACTAAGGTGCTACCATCTTAATGCAAAAATTGTTTTGCAAAGAAATTAAGTGATTTCTTACACCTGGTGATGACATTGAGTGCTATCAGAGACAAGCATGCTCTCCAATTATAATGGAACAGGCAGAAATGAAAATGAAGAAAGAATATGGAACACATTAGCTTACCCTGAAATACAGCAGTGATGTATAGCCAGCTTTTATGAAATCTCTCAAAATTTTATCACCCGAATGTCCAAAAGAGATTTTAAATGGTAAATAAAATACATTTGTAGTCGATATAGGACTTAACATTTGGAGAAATATTCATGTATCGGTTTATATTCTCTCTTTTCCTAAAGGACTTGATCGTTTACAGGATAATATACCATAAAAGAAATGTCAAAATAGGTGTAAGAGAATAAGGGAAAAAAAGATAAAATTATAAAAATCTCTATGCCCACAAAGTAGGAACACATAAATGGAGGTTTATAAGATGTAAAATAGTGAGACTAAGCTTCAGGTTTCAACTTTAAGCTGCCCAAGAACCAAAGTAAAATGGGAATTATAGTCAGCCATCAAAAATAGAAGCCACTGTTTATTAAGAACAGCAAAGTTTTTCTGGTGCAGAAATCTGAAAATTAATCTCACATAGCATTGTGATACATGGTGAAATGTAAAGACTGGCGCGTGGATTAGTTTCCGCTGGGGTCTGCGGTCACAACAAGGCTGTGATGAGCCACAGGGTGTGCGCATGCACACACACACACACTAAAGCTCATAAGGCAGTTCTCCCTTCAGCCCTGCGTGTGCTGAAGACCGTTCTGAGAGTGACATTTTATTCTGGAATCCAGGCCTCAAGGCAGCATTGGCTGATGTCATGGTTTACATGGCTTCAAAGCAGCTTTCCATTATCTGCACTCAAACCCTGCCCTTTCCTTGTAAGTCTCCGAGAAACTGACCAGTGTACTTGTCAAAGACCAAGGATATGGGTCTCATTTCACCAGAGGTTTTACATGCACTTCACATCTTGGAAAACATTTTGTTTGAAAATGAAAGAAGTGAGGATGATTCTGTTGTACCCTTATGATGGTGAAATATTTTCATGCTAATGTAGAATCCTGTTTACAGCCCTAGGAGATCTAGAGCAAACTAGGAAATTAACACTTTCTGTAGTTGTGCACCCTACTTGGCAAGCAAAATCTCTCTTGAAATGTGTTCTGGTCCCCTCCTCCCAACCCCCAGGCCTCCAGTGCCCAGCATGCATATAATGAGCCACTTCCCTTCTTCCCACCCAGTCCTGGCTCTCAGGGAAGATATTTCCTGGCTATTGTAAGCCAGCCAGAAGGTAGCTGCAGACAGGGTTACAAATTGGCTTGTTTCAAGGCAGCTTGCTGAAAGGGGCAGGGTGGCTGCGGATATAATAAGAGCTAATAGAGGTGAAGGTGAAAAGGGGTAAATGGTCGCTTTAAATTTAGCCTTTTATTTTAAGTCATGCAGATGCATTTACCATAAACTCCTTTCCTCATCCTGTTGTTCATCTCCATGTTTTAGACTTCTCTGCATTTGTTATATAGAATGGCAAATAAAATTACAGCAACAGCACACAAGTACA